TATTTTGAAACAGTGTGTGGTGATCAGAGAAATGATGGCTAGACCATCCAGGTTGCTCTTGGGCAGAGGCAAATCATGTGTGCCTTGATCTGTAAAGAATGTTCTGGATGGTGAACACTCTTAGGCCGTGTGCATGGTTTCACTTCTCTATACCTCTAGTGTCAGGAACAGAGCCTGGAACAGAGTGGCTCAATGTTTGTTGCAGAATGAGATGATGGTGGTGAGGGTGGGATGTTAGTTTCAGCTCTTCGGATCCTCTCCATAGCCTCCCCCTTCCCTGAACAAGTTGGAGCACTTGGGGTAGAGGAGACATCCTATGGATAGAGTAGACTCAGGTCAGGGGCTAGTAACACTGAGGACACAAGCACAGGGATGCCACAGGCGAAGAGTACTCGAGGTGAGAAGTTATGGTTTGGCTGGATTGGGGTGGAGCTTTCTGGTTCTGATCATCACTGTGTTGCCTTCATGGTTCCCAGGCTGAGCTCTCAGCCTCCTTTTCTTAGAAGAGGCAGCAGCGGTGGACAGCAGTCCACCCTGCGAGATTGCACAGGCAGCGACACGTGGTTTCCCCCACACATCCCATGAGCCACAGGCACAGCCACAGGAACATCCAGTGGTGATGATGATGCACTCTACATGGCATAGACGGCATGCTGGGGGATTGGCGGAGAATGTGGAAGCACTTGAATTTTAAGAGAATCCCTCCCATGATTATCTTTTGTCCCATGAATTACCTCCCTTTGATGGGGTGGAAACAGGATGGGATTGGGTTTGGCAAAGGAGATGCGAGACAATGGGGAAGAAGAAGGCTTGGGGCCAGGGAGATTAAAGAAGAGGGGAGGGAGCGGGAATAAGCCTCAGAGTCCTAGGTATTCCCTCAGGAGGAAAAATGGAGAGTTGTGGGTATTGGGGTTGTGACTCAACACAATGACATTACAATCCTGAGACTGAGGACAACCTGCTGGTACAGTGATGGGTTGGCAGCCTGAGCCCAGGTGCATGGAAACGGGCATGGGCTGAGCACGCCCCTTTACACTCACTCAGTGACTACCTGAGGGCAGGAGGACAGATCGCTTTCATTAGCGATGCTGGCCTGGAGAGCTGTTTCGGACAGCCTGAGGGCTGGCACTCTGTGGCACAGAGGCAGAGCTAAGACAGGGGCCCTCACTGGCCAGTTCCCTTCCCCTGTCCCCTATTATCCTTCTGCTCATGCAAATGAGTCACTGTGTCCAGGATCAAGGCACTTCATAGCTGCGTGCTGTTGGGCAACTTTTCTAAGCTTCAGTTTCCTCTTCTGTGAAATATAAAAAATGACAGTGCTATCTCGTAGGATTGTAGTGGGGAGTTAACAGAATAATAATAGAACACCTAACAGTGCCTAACATGGAGTAAGTCCTCAAAAATGTTAGGTACAGTCTTCATCATTGCCACCGCCAGTGGTTCTAAGAGTCCCAAAAGGCATAGTGAGGTCAGGGGGCTTGGGAATGAATCTTCCAGACAGAGGTTGGGATCTGGAGATGGGTTAGGAAATGGCTTGGGGTCTAGTAACAGGACTGAGAATCAGGGATGGAAGTGTCCACGCCCACCCCCATAGTAGTCACCTGCTTAGCTGAGAGCTGCTCTTTTCCTTCCACCCGTGACTAATTCTAAGGTGCACTGGGAAGTCCCTGAGGGCATCATGTGGAGAAAGATGGTGAGGAGAAGGAGGTCAGAATAGGGATTCACTTTTTTGAGAGGCAGCATTCTGAGATGAAGGGAAGATGGAGAGAAGAAGAAAAACAATTTCTGGGTCCAGAGGGGAGGGGAGGGGAATGGAAGGAGTAGGGAAAGTAGGAACAGGTACTAGGGGGAGAGGGGAGGGGAAGCTACAGTGCTCCAGAGGGTCCCTTTGTGGTACTCCTGAGAAGCAGGGATGTCAGGCTTAGGAAAGAGCTGCCAGGGTTGGGAGGTTGGGAGGGCAGGGACTTGTACCTGGCAGTGTGCCGTAAGGGCATTCCTTCTCCTCCACCAACAAACGCTGTGCCAGTACCTGGGATCTAAGGTAGCCGGGGAGGGTCAAACTTTCAGAAAGAGCCTTGAATACTCTCCAGTGTATGTCCTGAGAGGCCCCTCTCCTTCCTTCTTTGCGGCCTCACAAGCCTGGCAGCTACCTTGCCAGAAATTGCCAAGTTTGATGACATCTCTCATTACAGGCCCTTTGTTCATTGCTTCAACAGGAAAAGGTAGAAAAGGTGTGATCTATGGGCCCTGGTTGTCATCTGCTCGGATGACATGATGTTGATCTTGACTAATTCTGTCTATGGGAAAGTAACAAAAAATCCCATCTGGCAGAGATTTAGAATTAGAATGGAGGCTTCATGAAGGCAGTAATCTTTTTTCTATTTTAGCCACCACTGTATCCCATGGCCTTTGAATACAAGACTTAATAAATATTTGTTAAATGAATGAATGAGAATACTTATTATTTACTTATGAAGAAAAATTATTTAAGTCATTACAGAGTTTATTTAGTGGCAGAATAATGTGATTAGAGCTCCAGGTCCTTTTCCTCTTTCTTCTTCACCATCCTTACAGTTTTGCCTCAAGGGTCACAAGATGGTTGAACTCCATGGACACAAGATAGCTGCCACAGCTCTAGACGTCACATCCTCACATCAACAGCCCAAGCTAGAAGGGTCATGGACGATTTTGAGTCTCTGGTTTTAGGAAGGCCCTCTCTTTCTCAGAAGGCCCAAGCAGTGTTCTGCTATGTTTTCTTGTCCTGATTTGTGCCACCTGCTACCCCAAACTCTATGCAAAGGTGGCTAGAAAAGGAAATATTTGGTCAAGAGAGGTAGGAGCTCAATTATTAGTTTAAGTAATAATTTATCCTTCAGTACTGGCACAATACTGCCCTGAATGAAATCAGGATTCTGTTAACATCGAGAAAGGGGAAATTGGCCACAAAGTGGACAACTAACTACAGAGTGTCCCAAAAGTTGCCATACATAGGGAAAATGAGAAATTGTAGCTAATTTTAATTACATACATACAATTATAATTATAATTATACTATATTATAATTATAATGTCAGCTGATTAGGTACAAAAATGTACCTTGATTTACAAAATATTCATTTTACAAAATTTTTCCTTTGTATGGAGACTTTTGGGACACCCTGTATATCAGCCAGAGCTACAAAATCTGACTTCTGCTTCTGCTATTGTTAACCTCTCTGCCCTCCATCTCCACCCTCTGGCTTTTCTTTTTTAGAGGTGCCCTCTAATAAACAGCTATTTTTCCTGCAGACACCTTGAGAATGGGACCAGGGGCCCCCGTTAAAACAATGTCTGTTCTTCAGTGACCAGGATTGAGGTAAAGGAAGAGGAACAGAGAGCAAAAGAGGGAGCTCACTCGGACTCAGAGCTGGACTTGGTAGTGGACAACTTGTTCATTATCGCTCCTGCGTGGGCGGCACTATTCTAAACACTGGGGATTCAATGACGTGCAAATTAGACAAGGTTTTATCGTTCATGGATCATGTGTTCCAGTGCAGGAGATAGTTAACACATCAATAAACAGATAAATATATATTCTGAAGTCAAGACTAAGAAGCATTATGAAAAAAAATAACAGGGTAAGAGATAGTGATGAGAAGGCATCTCAAAAAATATTGAGGGATGACCTTGTGTGTGGATGTTTGTAACTACCTGGGAGACCCGGAGTAGGAAGGCCTTGGAGTGGGAGTGTGGCTACAACTTAGAGGACACCAAGAATGCAGATGTGGCCAGCGTAAAGTGAGCAAGGATCAGAAAGGAGATCAGTGATACAGCCAGTGGCCAAAGGATGCAGGATTTTGTTGGCCTTGGGATTTTATTTTTCATGTAATGGAAGCCACTGGAGTGATTTGGACAGGATGTGACACGGTCTGCTTTATATTTTAAAGGCTCATTCCAGTTGATGTAAATAGGATTATTGAATTATTATTACAATGACTAACAGTATACATTTGAATAGAATGTTTATAACAAATTTTGATAAATAATTAATAAACACAAACAATATGTTTTGGAAATGTATATCTTAAATGAGAGAAATGGGGATTTCCCTCTCCCCAAGTATTTCATATGCCCATAGACAAATAACTGTATTTCACTAGTGTGAGATAAAGTTCAGAACCAATTATATTCCTAATTTTTCTTTAGTTGTCAGCTTTGAGATACCTACTTCTTATAATTAAGTATATAGAAAGGGAAAATTTTTATCGTAGCAGTGTCATTCAACTTGTTTGAATTCCTTTTATTTGTCTAAAATCACACCACAATTTAGTATTAAAAATTATATTTGATGGTCTGTCAGTTGACAGCTGACAGTTGTATCATCCTTCCATAATATGAAAGCCAAAAACTAGAATTCTCCCAACTTGTAAAAAAACTTGTTACCCAGTGGCTGGATCGTTCACACACTCAGATTGACACTGGTATTTTTAATAGTTCCTTGCTTTGACATTCTGCAGATTTTTATACCCCAGGATTCTGAACGGTGGTAAGAGTCAATGACAGATGAGGGTTATGGGAAGAGGGCAATGATGAAAGGAATCCCTTTGGTCGAAGCACATCTCAGGCACTTAAGTTTAGGGAAGAGTACATAGACAAGCTAAACATCTAGACATTGATTCTGTTAAAACTATTCTTGCCTGCCTATACCTTGAAAAGTCTTCCTGCACACAGCTTGAAGCCTGCTATTCTAGTTGGTGAGTTCCGTAAGGGCATGCTATTCCCTGTCTCTGTACCTCATGCCAAGCAATATGTCTGGCACAAAGTGATCTTTTTGTTGAATAACGAAGGAACTGGGGCGCTGGGGTGTCAGTCTGTTTTCCCCATTTTTCCCATATCTTTCATAACTGCCCATCCCACATGCCACATTGAGATCTAGTCATCGGGGTTCATTGAGGTTTTCATTTTCTGGCTAGAGTCCCAAGCTAGGGGCAGTAACACCAAAGAAAAATACAGAAAGGTGCAATGTTTGTCTTTATTACTCAAGAAGCAGGGTTGAAACAAATGAAGGGGATATATTGAGTCAGGTTTCCTGGTTGGGATCATGTTTCATTACTGTCACGATCACGAAATTAGGTTCTCAGCCTCCTCCCTCTCAGGCCAGCCGGCAGCAGCGGGCAGTGGTCCAGTCCACCACACTGCACTGGCAGTGGCACGTCTTTTCCTGCTGCACATCCCATGAACCACAGGCGTAGCCACAAGCACAGCCGGTGACAGACATCCCTGCGTGGGCACGTGAGACACAGACCTCAGAGCCTTTGAAGTTTGAGAGGAGGGAGGTCCACCCTCAACCATCTTTCATCCCTGTGCAGCCCAGGGGTAGATCTAGGTTTTGTGGGTCCTAAAGCTAATTCCGTTTTGAGAGCCCGTTTCAAGAAAAGAAAAACAAGTGAGGAACTTGGGAGTTTCAAGTTTCCTTCGATACATGGTAACTTCGCCTCTGCACTGGCCCCTACCCATCCCAGCAGGAGGGTAGATTAGGGAGGAGAGATGAAGGACGTGACCCTGACAGGGAACGTGAAGACAGGAAAGGCTGGCTTATGGGGGCCTGAAGGGAAGGAGCAAAGGAAGAGGTGGAAACTCAAGATCTCTCAGGAGCACCCTTCAGGGAAAGGAGAGTGGGCCAGGGATCTCTGGGAACCAGGAGATCTGACTCAGACCCAGCAGGATACAAACTTGAGATGGGGACGGTGTAGGCACTGGGAGGTGGTTGTGAGAGAACTCGCAGCATCTTACCCACCATTCCTCCTCTAGGAGTTACTCACCTGCAGGGCAGGAGGACAGTTTGCCTGAGTTTGTGACACTGGTGCACACGAGCTTCTGTGCCGTGGCAGAGGGATTATACTCTGTGTAGGAGAGAAGAAGAGAGGGTCGCCATCACTGATCCCTCCCATCCCCTTCCAAATCCTCTTCTACCTCTCAGGTGCCACCGTGTCCACAGTCAGGCTACGCACGAGCCTTGAAGGCTCAGTTTCCTCATGTATAAAGGAAAAGTAATAGTTGTACTTGCCTCATAAAGTGGTGGCGAGAATTTAAATGAACCAATCTGTGGAAAGCTATGTCTCGTACCTGACCATTCATCAATTGTAGCTACCGTGCTCCCCCACCTCCTCCTCTTCGGGGAAACCTGATCGTGTAGCCAAGAGTCCAAACAGGGGCAGGGTAGTATAGAAAGCCCTGGGCAGCAAGACGGGGCTTCAGTGGACTGACCAGAGGTTGGGATTGTACAATGGGATAGAGTCAAAGTTATTTTGAGAGCAGGAGGCATGAGTAAGGGGTAACCTCCCACCCCCCATTCCCACCCCAGTCAGTTACCTAGACTGTTGAGAACGTCCTTTATCTTTTTGTCCACAATGGTGTCTAAGGAACACTGAGTGCTCCCTGGGATAACCAGCTGGAGAAGGGGGATGAGGATGAGAAGAAGGCAAGCGTTAGGCTTCATCCCGTAGAGAGTCAGTGTCCTGGAGCTGGGAGGAAAGGTGGAGAGAAGCTGAGATCCCTGAGCTCCCGCGTGGCTGTGGAGGAAAGAAGACAGCAGGGCGGAACAGCAGCGTCAGTAATGGATTATTTTGAGTAGTTTTAGAAGCATGGAGGGTTGCTGCAGAGCAGACTCACTCACCAAGATGTTCAGAAAAGGCTCGGAAGGACTGGCCAGGCAAGGGTGTTTTAATACGCCAGGTACTGACCTGGGCACCCTTAACACGCAAGCACGCACGCACAAATGAACACACCCCTGGCACATTTCACAGGCCTGCGCCAGCTGGGGTGTGACACATCTCTGCGATAAACCTCAGGGCGCTCTGGATCTCTGCCAAAGGGGGGCCTCCTGCAGCTCTGTTCTTCCCTCTCCTTTCTTCTTGGCAAGCTGCCAAGGCCAGCACCTGGGCCTCTGGCTTCCCGCCCCACATCTAGGCCCTTTATCTGATCCTTCGTCAGGAAGGGATTAGTCTGTGGTCTGCTGAGTGAGGGACCCACTTGTCACCTACTCAGACACCTTTTTATTGTTCCTGGCTAAGCCCATTTGTGGGAGAGTCACAGAAAGTCTTATTAAACCTGGCTTAAAAATAAGGAAGTTGTACTGTTTACTCCGCCAGAAGTATTGTGTGGGACTTCAGAGCTCTTTTGAGGGCTCCACAGGATTTTCATTAGCCTGATCTTTTCTCTTTTTCCACCATCCTCAGCTAATCTTTTGACTTTGTGTCCTCATGGTTGCAAGGTGGCAAGTACCACAGCCTCAGCCCAGACCCTGAGAGGAAAGGAAGGGTTGCAGCAAGGCCATTCTCTCTGGAGGCTTTGCCCTTTCATTTTGGAAGCAATTTTTCCCTAGAAGCTCAAGAAGATTTCCCCTTACATTTCATTTTTAGTTCTGGGTCACAGGACCTCCATTTCCGTCACGTGTGGCTGGGAAAGCAAGTTGAGCTCCACAATCCCTTACCTAAGACCTCTGGGCCCAGCTGTGGTTTAGAACTCGGGATGTTTCAGATTTTGGAAAGTGCGAATTCAGTATATTATGTTATATTAATATCACCAAGGTCTAGGTCGGCACTCTGTAATCAAACACATTAACACGTCTACTGCTAAATGTATGAAGATTAACCTGGGGTAAATAAAGACCATGAAGAGCCTCAGAGCAGGCCATGCCAGTTATTTCTGCCAAATGAGTTAGCCTCAAATTTAGGGAAAACATTCTGGCTTTCGGAGCCTTTTAGGTTTTGGAATAGTGCATAAGGGATTGAGGACTCATATACGTCCAAAGAGGCAAGAGTGCTGGGATTCATTGTCCAGGACGGGGCACACGGCCACCGCAAACGAATCAGGTTGAAAGAAGAACAAGAGGAAGAAGCAGAGAATGGCTGTTGGGTGACCGTGATTGGGGGTGGTCAGAGCTGGAGAAGCCTGGCTCTCCCTCTGTGACCAGCCTTTCTGCCCCCTTTCCTCGAGGTGTCCTCTGACAAATAGCTATTTTTTCTACATATCTCTCTTGGGCCACTTAGAGAATGGAGCGCAGGGATGCCAGCAAAATGGCAAGGATGCTTTCTCAATAGAGAACAAGCAAAAGCACAGAATTGGACTTGTTGTGGAAGTCAGGTCAATTAACTCATTTGTTAATTCTATGAGTATTTGTAGAGCTTCTCTGTACCAAGACTAACTCTGGTGACTCAGCAATGGGCAATGTAGACATGATCCTTGCCCTCTTGTTACTCCGTTCTGATGAGGGAGATAAATACACACAGGAAACAAATAAATATGTAATATGTCCAGTATTAAAAAGTATCCTAAAGAAAATAAATCAGAGCAAGGCAATAGAGTGTGCCACTGTGCTATTGCACGTAATTCAGTGTGTTCAGGGAAGGTGTCTCAGAAAGGTACAACGACCTGAAGAAGAGGGGGGTGAGCCTTAGGAAAATCCGGGATACATGGCCCAGGCTGTGGAGAAAACAAATGTGCAGAGCCTACAGCACGGACATGGCTGGTGTGTCGAAGGAATAGCAGCAATGGCAGCGTGGCCAGAACGGAGTGAAGTGAGTAAGAGGCAGAGAAGCCAGAAGAGAGGTCAGAGATACAACCAGGGCCTGGTTACATACAGCTTGTAAACCAGTGTAAGGGCTTTGGGTTTTATCGTAAATTCAACAGGAAATTATTGGAGTGTTTTGTTCAGGGAAGTGACATCAGATGATTTATGTTTTATAAAGCTTATTATGGCCACTGTGGAAGAGACTGTGGAGAAAAACAGGTAGGCAGGGAGATCAGGTCATGGGCTTCTACAGAGCTCTAGGTCTCAGATGGCAGTTGGGGAAGGAGCGAGAATTGAATAGATTGGGGTTATTTATAGATGCTGGAGTCTCTGTAGGGGTTACGGATAGACATTGGGTGTAGGAGAAAGAGAGAAGTGGGAGAGCCAGGTTTTTGTTCTGAATAATTTTTTGAAGAGCAATGATATTTACTGAAATGGGGTTCCCAGGGAAAAGAGTTGATATGATAGGAACATGAAATCATTTTTGATCATGGTCAATTTAATATGCCTATTCGACATCTAGGGGGAGCTGTGGCATAGAGTTGCATGTCTAGGGTTTGGAGATACAAATTTGAGAGTAACCAGTACACAGTTGGATCTATGAACAGAGATACTCTAATAGGAAAAGAGAAATACGCACATACACAAACACACACACACACACACACACACACACACACACATTTAGTGAATCATGTAAAGAAAACTATAGACTGGGAAGTGGATGACCAGAAAAACACAGATTTAGAAATATGAATTAAATTGCATTGACTAATCAGTTTGTTGGAAATAGCAAGGAAAGAGAAGATAACAGGAACACATGATAGTGCTCTTGGGTTAAAATAAGCCTGGACAACAGGGATAGTGACCATCACCTCTGGAGAATCTCTTGTAGTCAGTGGCATGTCTAGCAGATTTGTCACCGGGGCGGGGTGGGGGGGAATCACATTCTAACACTCTTGTCCTTTTAATAACAAAATGATTTTTAGTAATAATTATATAATGATTAGTAATAATCATTATTCTTGATTCAGTCTCTGGTTTTCAAACAAAAAATTAGCTATCAAAAAACCCAAATTTTAATTTTAAAGATATTGTTTAAATTCAGTACAATATTTTACACGTAAATTAAAATTTTCACTTACCAAACAAAAATATCATACTTCACAGTTTGCATTCTGTTTCAATTTAGATTTTAAACACAATTAAACGTCATATAATCATATAGAATGATCAAATTGATCTGTAATTCAGGTTCTATTAATTTGTCTTACAACCACTAGTCTATTGTTATTTATTTATTATCTACTGTTAAAATGCAGGAATATGAAGTAGCACAGGGATTGGAGACAAACTGTGAGAAGCAAACTCTAGGGATTCTGAACTGTTAGGATCTTACTTTACTAATGAAAGTGTGTAGCTGAAGCTGAGTATGTAAGAGCCAACTGTATAACTGAAAGTTCTCTGAGTTAACTTCCATGTAGAATACAATGTTTATTAAAAGATAAGTAATAAAAATGTGCTAATTTGAAGCTAACATACATATTGTTAGAACTCAATAGTAATCACAACAATTGTTTAGCACTAACAAACAATGTTTTTGGGGAGGAGTATTTTACCACTGATATTATTTAGAATTGCCATGCACGGTGATAATGAAAATCAGATGAACTTTTACTCAGCTTTATTATTGCTTTTAAATTCTTGTACCCTGCTTCTTTCCAGCACCTCCTCTGTTGGTAGTCTCTGCTTATGGTATAAGGACGTTGCCTGGGATCAGTCACTGTGTCATAGAGCTTCCATCTCAGTAATTCTGGAAAATGTTCAGAAAATCCTACACAGCGAGAGTGGAAGAAAGGTTTTTGTTCCTTGAGAATCTGTACATAAACTAAGCGAAATTTTTTTTAACATTTTTAGCATTCTCTTCTCCTTTAGTGCTACCGCCTTTCTAAGAGTGTACTTCTTTTCCAATGACCTAAATGTGGAGGTAGCTTTTAAATTTTTCTTATCTCCTTTCCCCATTCAATTTTCCACTGATTATTTTGTATTTTATTTTATATACATAAAGTTTGAAAAGTCGTTAGCATAGGGTTGCAGCTGCAAAAAGGGGGATCATAAACCTGGATACGGGCAGCTGGGAAAGGTAAAGACAGAAGTGGGGATGGAGCTGACAGGGTCATCTGTCCCAGATGAAGCTAAGGCACAGCACTATTTTTCTATGACATCTCTTATAGGTGGGAGTAGAGGTCTTCCCTGCAAAATGTAGAACTCTGAAGGTGCATAAGACAATCCATTAGGTTAGAAGAAGTAAATATCAAATCTTCTATTTTTATTTATTTTTTCATTCTTTACCATTTTCTATTTTTGTATGCTTTATTGCGAACTTACTGTGTTGTTATATGTTTATAGTTTATTAATTACATTCGAATGTAGGCTTATTTTTTTTAACTCATGGTATATCTAAAAAAAATAGGAGACCAAGAAAAAAAAAAAAAATTTCTAGCATATTTTTGGCTAGAGTTGAGGACTTCTCTGATGAGGCATTGGAGTGCTTATCATTTTTGATATTCAACAGAATCTTGTTGATTCATATACTTTAGATACTACATAAGAATTCAGTCAAAGTGATACTAAATATAAAAACTGAGAAGTCAAATTTGTATTCTCATTCAGATGGGAGATTGACCTACTCCCGAATAGAGATCAGCCACGAGTTCTCTTGGAGACAGAGGAAAATGTTTCTTGGACATGATGTTGGAATCTGCTCAAGAGTTCTGTACCATCGAACAGGAAAATAATGGGGTCTGCAAAACTTCATGAGTTGATGCTTTCAATTAGCCATGAAACCATAAAGGGTCCTTACTCCTCAAGTTACCAACCATGTGTAAGTCTGTCAGAGAAGAAGCTTGCATCATTGTGACCACAAAGAATGTCCCAGAGTGGCTGAGTGGATGGATTTATCCAATGCTATCGCTTCTTAGAATGCTAGAAAGTGTCTAAGAAAGGCAACAGT